TGACTGCTGTCTTTTCTGGTCTTGTCTCCTCGGGTTCTGCGCGTTCCTCAGCGTTCTCCTCTTCCTCCACCGACGACCCGTCGCCCCACAACACCGGGTAGTACAGACGACTCATTGAATGGTGAGCGCTTTCTTCGCTGGGCTCAATCGGTTCACGACATGGCTCCGGTCCTCTCGTTTCCATGTTCCCGCCGTTCACAAATAGGTTTTGATGCCATACTTTCCCATCTGACAGCCGGAACGTATGTTTTCCCAGTCGTTTTTGGATTTGAGCTGGCTCGTGCTAGCGTGTCTCGCCTTTCTTCGCCTAAGGTTTCCGGGTCTTGACCCACTGGCCCACTCGGAAGTTTCCGTCGACTGCTGCTCTACGGTTGTCTGCGTACGTTCCTTGTTAATGTTGTCTCCATTCCACCTGTTCGCGGGTATCCCCGTCCGCTGTGTTTCTCTCTCGGTGCTCTCCCACGACGTTGAGTTTGGTTCGCATTTTCCTCCCATGTAGCAGCTCTGCGGGAGATCTCCCCGTGGTCGCCTGTGGTGTCGCATTATATGCTCCTATCATCTCGGCGACTCTCGACCGGAGATCTCCTCCTTTAGCTTTGGCTGTCTCGAGGAAACCACCAAGTGTCCGATTTAATCTTTCAACAAGGCCGTTGGAGATCGGGTGGTAAACCGGCGTCCGCACGTGTTTTATCCCGAATTCCTCTATTAAACTCGCGAATTCGTGGCTCGTGAGCTGAACACCATTGTCGCTAACAATCTCTTCCGGTACCTCTCTCTATGGAGCATTCGCCTGAACATTGCTACGACTCGCGCTGAGGGCACTTCTTCCCTGAGTTCAAGTTCGACCCATTCCGAGTAGTAATCTATGATCACCACCCGGAATCGGTTGTGACTTCCAACCGAACCATCCGGTCCCCGAATATCCACTGCCCGTTTCTCCCACGGTCGTTCTGGCCAAGGCGTGCTCACCACGGGAGCTGTTCGGGGTTGAACGATTCGCTCGTTATTCCTACAGATTGCGCATTTCCTGACGGTCAGTTCCGCATCTCCGTCCATTGCTGGTCACCAAAATATCTCGCGAAGCCTATGCTTTGTTCGCACTATCCCCTGGTGAGCATCCTCGTGTGCCAGCCTTATCCCTCTTTCTCGAAGATTTTTCGATAGAACCACTAGGTCCCCTCGCATGATAGTTCCTTCCTCTATGCTCAGTTCACACAATACTGAGGACCACAGCCTATCCACCCGTCTAGTCTGCCGAGTTCTCAGCCAATTTTTTACTTGATCTAGTTCTTCATCCATCTCCGATTGTGTCGAGATCTCTTCCCTGCCAATTGGCTTCAACACTTCCTCCAAGTGTGCCATGACCTGATCGTCGTCATTTTTTGTTTGGAACAACTCGCTGATTGGCAAGCGAGCCAGCATATCTGGCACGTTGCTGCTTGTCCCCGGTCGGTATTCTACCACGAAATTGTACCGCCGTAACCTTTCCACCCATCGCGCTATCCGCATCGGGGCTCTCCCCGTGCCGCTCGATCCCAGTAGTGCAACCAATGCTTGGTGATCGGTCCGCAACCTGAATCGTCCGCCATAGGGGAACACTTGCCAGCGCTCTATCGCGAACACACATGCCAGCGCTTCCTTCTCCCCGGCCGAATATCGAGTCTGTGCGTCTGTTAGAGCGCAAGATGCGTACGCCACTGGGCGCTCACGATCCTCGTGCAGCTGAAGGAGGCACGCCCCACAGCCGACATTCGACGCGTCACTCGCGACGATGATTTCTTTCGAGTGGCCAAATATTGCCAATGGTTTTGCGTTGACTATTGCCTGTTTCAGCCTTTGGAATGCTTCGCTTTGTTCGCGGCCCCATTCGAATGTTGCTCCCGATTTCAACAGCCGTCTCATTGGTTCGGCTATCGTCGAGAACTTCGGGACACATCGCATGTAGAAGCTGGTTGTCCCTAGCACAGACATTATCTGAGTTACATTTTTCGGCTCCGGGAGATCCCTGATTGCTCTCATGTTTTCGGCTGTGGGTCTGATTCCCTTTGTGCCGATCATGTGTCTCACCAACTCGACTTCCCGCTGTTTCAGCACGCATTTTGCATTCAATACCATTCCGGCATGTCGGATTTTCTTCAGCACCGCTTCCAGACGCCTGTCGTGTTGGCGTTCGTCGACGCCGAAGACTAGGATGTCATCCAGGCATACCATCACCCCGTCAATCCCATCTAGCATCTTTTCCATCATGCGTTGAAAAGCCGCTGGCGCCGATGCCAAACCGAAAGGTACTCGTCTGAACCTATACAGTCCCCATGGTGTGATAAACGCGGTCAGATCTCTCGATTTTTCCGCTAGCTCCACGCCGATCGTGCGTCCAACTTGGAAAACACTCTCGCCGATCCCAGCTTCGCCAGTAAATCCTCGAAGTGTGGCAGCGGGAATGAATCCGCGACAATTGCGTTATTCACTGCCCGCAAGTCCACACATAGCCGTCTTTGCGTTTCACCACCACCAAGGCTGAGATCCATTCAGATGCCTCGATCTGCTCTATAACATCGTCCGCTTCCAATTTGCGGAGTTCTTCATGCACTTGCTCGCGCACTGCGAATGGCAATCGTCGGATTTTCTGTTGCACTGGCCGTGCATCCCGCTCCTGCTTCACCGCGCGTTCAAATCCGCGAACTTTTCCTAGCCTGTCTTCGAACAGCGTTTCGAAGTGCTTTCTAAAGCCCTCCGCGCTTAGCTCATTGACTGCACAACTAAGCTGGCCGCAATCTATTTGGATTCTCAGGGCCCTCAGTGCATCCCGACCCGGCAAAGATCGACCCACCGTCACCACACAAAATTCGCAACTCGTTGTCCGGTTGTTGACTCTGATCATGCTCCTGAACTGTCCCAAGACACCGATGATTTCCCCTTTGTAAGATCTCAACACAATCGAAGATCGTCTCAGATTTGACATCTTCCATTTAAAATCGTTTCTATTTATGATAGACACGGCTTCGCCTGTATCTACCAAGAACACAATTTTCTGTTTCTCTACCTCGCCTATTATTCGGATTTCGCTACCTTATGGCTGAGAACTCAATTTATAGATTGGGACGACTGGATTTATTGAACTTGCTTGATTCCGAGCGACGGTTTGGTCCCATTCTTCGTGAGAGCGTTCCCAAGACTCCATCGGTGTTGCGATCGGCTCTGGCTGGCGATTCACGATGATGTGGCCGTCCTCGGTCAGCGGATAGGTGACTTTTCGTGCTAGGAGCCTGAGGCCTGCGGCGTACTCACGTATCCACTCGCTCTTTTTTCGGAACCTTCGCGCGAAGTCCAGCAAAGCCGCGGCTCGGCCCTTCTCGGGAGCAAACGTTTTCGAGCATCGATCGATCGCTTTTTCGTATGCGTCAGCTCCCTCCGCCTCCGTGTGCTCCACTGCGTAGTACCTACGCTCACCCTCCGCTCCGAGACAATGAATCAGCATTGCCAACTTCCTCTCCACGGTCCATGAGGTTGTTCCGCCGCGCGCGATCAAAAATATCTTGAAACTTCTGATCCACTCGTCCCAGGGTCCACTCGGTTCAACGCCGGGAACTGGCAGGAACGCGGCCGGTGGAAGTATTCCGCCTTGATTCATGCTCTGTGTGCGATCTCGTATTCTTCTTTCTCCGCGGTCGGTCACTCACTCTAACTTGATCCGGATATCCTCGTCGCCTCTCGATTTTTCCAACTCCTTCCTCTGTCCCGGATCCTGTCGATTGCGCCAATTGTAGTATCGGGCAGGGCGACGGAGGACACCTTGAGATCGGTTCACAGACAGCCAGGGCCGCGGACAGAAATCTCGGGCCCGGGGGGAAGTCAGTCGTGGGCCCCTCAACCCTCCTACACTTTTTCCTATGCTTGACTGTAGGTAATGCGCTTCGTCTGAATTTTGAAGGATGAGTGTATCTCAAATTCTCAAAAGAAAGAGAAACGCCATTTCCACAAGTATTCCTTATTGCACAACTTGATTTTATACTTTGAGGATATGAACTTATATTACGTCGTTGAAGAACCAGATTCACTCACATAAAGACTAGATCCTCTCGCCACCGAACTTCCGGCGGAGAGGTGGGGAACATTTGGACATTTGTGCCGACTTAAAACTTAGCCTTCCTTGCTTTACGCGCTGTGAATGCTTCGATGAGGGAAGCGAAATCGAGATTTCTAGCCAACTCTGATTCCAAGCAGAGAGTGGCCAATCCTGAAACCCGTTCCTGGCTTGAGCAGGATCTGTGGTGGTTCTTGATTCGCGCGAAAACACTGAAAGATCGCTCCGCACTGGCAACAGATACTGGCAGCGTGCAGAATATCCGAAGGGCGATACAGATATTGGGGAACAAATTATCCAATTTTTTCGCCACGATTGCATTCAGCAAGTCGAACGGGGATAACGGAGCTTCTGTGTTCTCCGCGAAATTGGCTTCCTAAGCAGATTTCAAGTGAACCATCTCGGAATAGATTTCCGTGGAGACATCAGCGGGGTACTTCTCGACGAACTTGAGCGCTGCGGCTCGTACTTCTTCTCCATCCATGATGGGGAACAGCCACAGGAACGAAAAATGGTGATTGATGCTCCTAATGGAGGAGAATCGGCTCTCCGTTCCCGCGATGATAGCATCCTTGATTACGAGGAATGTATTTCTCTTGAAATCAATCTCCTCGGCGGCGACATTCCCTCCCTGTGGATTCGCCTCTGGCAAGTCGTCAGTACGATTTCTCTTCCTCATGATCGGTAACGTAGCATCTGTTTCGGGCGAACCGTTGACAACCGCACGACACTCGTTCAGGATAGCGTTCTATTGACCGCGCAAGAAGTTTAGATCTCTCAAGAGACTCTCGAGATTCTTGACCTCAACGTCGATCGTTGCTCTCTGGTTCTGCAGAATTAGATTGACATTGTTGAGCGCAGTGAGGATTTTGAACCATATAGATGACATCAGAACGCATTCGAAAGAGCTTGTGTATTAGAGAATCCCGTCAATATCGCGTCTGCTCTCGGCGGTGAGATTGAGGCCCTGAGCTTTTCTCAATGCCTGCCGAAGTCCCGGTAGGTTCGCGGCAAAAGGCTTAATTACGTCAATCCTAGCCGACCATCTTGTATCGGATAAAGTATGGAGAGAGTTCGCCACATATTCATTCGAAATCTCCCATCTCTGCGTACTGCTGCTGAATATATTATAGCACTTCTGAACAATTCCGAAAAAAGATATGGCTCTGGGACAGCACTGCGCGGTGTCGACGCCAGCGAGATTCAGAGTGTGCGCTGCACACGGTGCATAGAGAGCGTAAGGGTTTTTCGCCAAAATTCTACTTTGAGCACCCTTGCACTCGCCGCTCATGTTCCTTCCGTTATCATAAGCTTGTCCTCGGCATTCAATCAGAGGTATCCCATGCTCAGCCAAGGTATCACAGATCAAAGTCGCGATAACTTCACCAGTTTTCCCGTGACAGTCGACGGAAGCCAAGAAACGTTCTTCTACCTGATGAGCTCTCTTGTCGGACTGGAGGCGCATGAATCGAAGGATGAATGTGGTCTGTTCTACGTGGCTGGCGTCCGGCGTGGCGTCTACCATGACTGTATAGTATTTAGCCCCCGCTCTCTCCTCTAAAATTTTCGTAATGACATGACGAGAACAGAGCTCAATGAACTCATTCTGGATATCATAAGACAGGTAGTGGACTTGCATTCGCTGATGCAACCTCTGAGACTTCCGCACATCTCCCAAATGCACTCGAAGAAGTGGGTCGTGTCTACTCAACAACTCCAGTAGGCTCAGGAAGTTACCATTGTTCCTTCCGCCAATCAAGTGGCTAGACCCTCGCAACGCCGATCCTCTCTCGCCTAGGAAAAGAATTGCATCCCGGATGCGGGTGAGAATATCTCGCCATTTCTCTGCCTCGGTAGCAATGTCTTCGATAAGGAGGGCATTCACGGATGTCTGGGCTCGCAGCCGTGCTTCCGTTTCGCGCCACTCGACGTAGCATTCGTAATGTTCAGTGCTATTTTCATGCGACGGCACTCGATCGTAGAGCTTCTTCCAAAGATTATCTCCAGAGTAGCCGTCGGGTCGACAGAGATGAGATCGTTGTAGAGCATTAGTTCGGAAAAGACGGCAAGAGAGGCAGAATAGGGCGGTTTTGCTCTGGGTCCAGACCAACCAATCACGATCTCTTCTTTCTCCGCTCGGTAAGCTCTTCGAGAGCAGAAGGACAGGGAATTTCCCGTGAGCTCGATCCTTCGGGAAGGTCGAATCGATCCGCCGGTGACCCTGAAGAATCACCTGTTCGGCTTGATGGGGTTGCAGAAAATCTTGCCCGAGGTCACCTATGTCGGAAGTCATGGGGCGTTGATCAGCCTTTGCCAGGTCCTGGTTCGCTCGCTCGACGACTTGCGGGCCAGAACCACGGTCTACTCCGGAGTCGCTCGAAGCGCTCGGATTCCCCTCGGCACTCAATCGGCTATCACTAGAGATGCGATATGAGAGGACATTTTTTCGCCGAAAAAAAGACATTGTCCGCGAGGACATCATAACTGAAAGCGGACATCGGGGAAGGACATCGTTTTTTTCGTGATTGAAGGATGAGACAAAAGATTCAGGACCATTCTGACTTTATAAAATAGGACTTTGCTTACCAACCTATATTAATTTACGAACACAAGCTTTTCTATGTCAATTTCTCGCCATAAGGATTGTCCCAGTCAATCTTCGAACAAGAGTTCCGAGTTGAATTGTATCGAGAGATATTTCTTGATGTTCACCTCTGATAAGCGATGCCTCCGATCACTGAGGATATTCTTCAGCAACGAGAATGACCTTTCTACGTCAGCATTACAGAGGATTGCACTTTCGAAAGTTTTTGAGCCTCGTGAAGAGAGAGCTCTCACTTGGTGCAAATCGGGATTGTTCTGCAAAATACATTTGAAACGCTGACGCAGATGTCCACTCAGTTGCTGCTCGATGGAGTCAAGAATCGCCAGTTGCTGCTCAAGGGATATAGAGCGCGACTCGAGCTCCTTGATATGCTTCGGGAGCTCTGAGAACATTGAGATAGCTTCGAACTGTTCTCTCAACTCGGGGTCGACAATGAGGAGTTTGAGAGTGTTCACATCACTGGATTTGCCGTCGAGCTGCCTAACGAAACATTCGACTTCTTCCAAACGTGCATAGTGATGGAAGGCAGCATTCAGGAACGTCCCCCAACGTGTCACGACTGGCTTGGGGGGCAAGGGGTCCCCACCAGTTAGCTCACGATATAGGTCGACCCTACTCTTTGAATTCGACATCACATTCTTCATACTAGAAACAAATGAATTCACTTTGTCGAATTTTTCGCGTATCGATTCACATAAGAGATGGATCCCGTGAGCCAGACACGTTACATGGAGGAAATCTTTGTACAACACCTTGAGATTGTTACCAACTGCGATGTTAGTGCGACACTGGTCCGTCACGAGCAGTTTGAACTTAGTGGGGTCCTTGGAGACGGTCATCGCCACTCTGTTCACGATTCCCGACAGAGAGACTGCGTTTGCCGAATCAACGAACTCAGTATCGTACAGTAACGGGCGTTCAGGCTCTCCCGACAATGGGATGACGATGGTATTTACGATTTTCCTGCGCTGTACGTCTTGAGTCTCGTCGATATAGATTGCGAACGGAGAGGATTCCACATGTTCTTCGATCTTCCTTCTGATGATGCCGTAACCATGTTCAATATATTTATCCGGTTTAGAGGCGCATTCGACATGCTCTCGTGCGTATTTCAAGAAGAACTGTCCGAAACGCTCTGATCGCAGCTTGCTTAGCGGGATGTTTTCCGATGCGAACAGCAGAAATAGTTCGTAATTGAACGGGCTGAGGCTCTCTGATCTCACGAGAGACGAAACGATTCCGGTCTGCTTGTTCGTTGATTTCTCCGCAGCCTGGTGTTTCGCTTTTTTCGTGGGCATCCAGTCGCGTGCTCCCACGGCGGTCTCGGATCTTTACGCGAACCGAACACTTCTGGCATATCACTCGATCCCCGTCCAGTTTGAAGCACCGATTTTGTTTTGTCGCAAGCCAACCGCATACGAGCTGTCTCAGATGTGGATCCATTGCCTCGGGGCTTCCTGAAGACGCGACCCTTCGCTGCTCGAGCGGATACATCCACTCGGCGAACTTTTGAGGGATCATCTGTTCGTCGCGACGCCGACGTGTTTTGATTCATCCGAACGTGCATGTGTATATACGATGCACGGGGCCCCTCACTTTATCGATTCCAAGGGGAAAAAGGCCTGCGAGAATCAAAATAAGCAGAAGTTCCACCAGAAACTACAAAAAGCGGACATTTCCGCCGAAATGGTCAAGAAGCGGACAAAACGGACATAAAAGGACGTGTCCTCTCATATCGCATCTCTAGCTATCACTATTGAACCCCTCTGACGAACCATCACGCGCGGGATCCGCTAGGTCAGATTCCGTCTCATCAATGGAGACATAGCTTGTGCTCTGGCTTGGTGAATCGGAGACTCCCTCATCTGCGCATGGGGTTTTCCGTTTTCCTCCACAGAAACTGGATGCACTTAAAGTCTGTTGACCTTTTCGAGCTCTGGCATCCCTTTCGTCTCTGAGTTTTCTCTCCACGCGCTTCCGATACCCAGACTTATGAGATGACATCTTTATTTCCGAGCTATGGCTCTCGTGTGCAGTGCCTGCGCTCGCTCCGAGCAAGTTTCAACTCGTTTCGTCGTTTGTTCAGGTCCGTGCGGTGGAATCGTACATGAAAAGTGTCTTGTGAAGCCCCCGACCGAAGATGAAGACGTTCTCTGCAGGAAATGTACCGGGAAGAAGGCGGTTAAGGGCACAACCGCTCAACTCCATGCGCGTGTCATAATGCTGACTAATCTAGTCCTACACCTTTCATGCGCCCTGGCAAAATCGCAGGAAAATATCGAGAAGATCCAGAGAGCCCAAAATGAGATTCTCGGTGGAGCTACCGGCGGTCAGCGTGTGGTCAAAGCGTCGCAAGCTAAGCCGGCACCCGATCGCCCATCGCTAGACTCCTACCTAAGCCAGCCGTATCGACATCTATAAACAAGCAAGACGTCAACCGTAAACAAAAGCCTGTCCGCGCTTCAAAGGCGATTCGGGCTGTGGAGGACACCCCCGGCCCGAGTTCTTCAGTGTCTGTTGCGAGGCCACTCTCCGAAGCGAAGGGTAAGGTCTCGAAACCGACTGGACCGAACCTGGCAAAGCGGGCGGGTGCTCTCTATGGGACAGGGAAAAACTGCTCCTCACAACTCTCTGCCGTTCCCGAACGCGTCCCACGTTCGACCATCTTCATATCAAAACTATCCCCGGATACCGCAACAAGTGATGTTCGTGATCATGTCAAAAACCTCTCGTCCAAAGTCATCTCGGTCTCCAGGTTCAAGTCGGGACCTGATGCAACTTGGGCGTCATTCGCAGTTGTCGTCGAGTCCCCGGACTCCACCTCAATATTGGAACCGGACAATTGGCCCGTGAATGTCTTGGTTCAACCGTTCCGCGGCAGACTGTTGCTTGATCGAGTTGAGGAGGAGGCCGGAGTTTCCAGCGAACCTTCGCAATGACTGAGGGCGATGTTCTTCAACTCGGCATCTATTGTCAAGAGGGGAGCATGCGACATGCTTCGCAAATCCTCTTGTGATAACCAGATTGACATCATATGCATTTGTGAAACACATGTGTCGTGGGGCTATCTCCCTGGGATACGGCGAATGAAGACCTCGGTATTAACGAACCAACGGTGGACACCTCCAGTTTATTAGCCGCACACAGGGACCGCCACAGCCGACCTATAGTCGCTATGCGACCGTCCTCTCTGACTACTCGTCACACACTGCTACATCATACCTTCCGACATACATCTAACACCTCAAACGTCAAACGTCCATCTACACCTCCGTGTGACCACGACATTCGGTCACGCTACCTACGCTGACTCCCGACAGCGTTTCCAGCTCTAACGGCTACCGTACAGATACAAGTTCTTAACCGCGTCCTCACTCCTCAACGTCGTTCGACACGTCGGACACGACGGATTTCGCCTCAACACCCTTGCCAAACATAGGAAACAGACTAGATGGCCGCATGTCGTCGTCTGGGGGTCTTCCGGCACCATCAAACATATGGCACACTTGTAATGTGCCATCATCCGGAACTTACGCACGTCCTATTCCGTCCATCCCGCCGGGTATTGCGGACCCACCGGCTTCACCTCCGCCGAAGACTCCTCCGGCTCCAAACTCGCCGTGCCGTCATGGCCGGCGTTTCGCCTTCACGCGGCCGGACCGCCAACACCGGCTCCTCGACCGGCCGTTCTTCCTCCGGCTCATCAAAGGGGCGGTTCCCCCAGAAAAAGGGGTCCTCCTCGTCGTCTTCCTCACTGGACTCCTCTGGAACGTCTGCGGCTGGCACCACACGAACCTCCTCAGCTTGCTGGACTCCTCGGGCTTCCGGCACTTCCGGCGCCATCGGGGGCATATCCCTCGGACTTGGACACGCCGTTCGCAAATGCCCCGTTCCGCCACATCGGAAACAGATGCGCGCCGGGCAATTCCTCTCGAAGAACCCTACTTCGTTGCAGCCCCTGCACGGCCGTCTTCTCGCACTGCACGCCGGCGACCCCGTCTCGTGCCTTTTGTCCAAACAATCCGCGCACACACTCATGACGACTTGTTCGCAAGACACCACACGTCGAACTGACTGCTGCTTTGTTCGATTCGAGCGTTCCGATCTCTTTTCCGTTGAGGGTGTCTTCTTTCCGCCGGTCTCAGCGTGCATCGCCCGCTCGCTCTGCCATCGCTACCTCCTAGTTGTCCTCAACTCGAACATCTCTTCTCCACTGTCTACCCACATATTACCGCCTGTATATTTTCTCCTAGTTCATCATCCATTCCTAATTTCCCTTGTGTTTTTTTCCGCCTAACTATCAACTTCGTATATTTGCCTCGGAAATGCACTGTTCGCTTCGGCCGAACTCTTGCTTCACCCTCTTTTCGTCGTTCTTGAGCTTCTCTCCCCGTCAACGGTGTAGCCTCAACTTTATTTCGAGCCCGTTCGCTCTTCGATTTCGGCGCGCCGTCTCTGCTAGAATCGTCACTTGATTCCTCTGTAACCGCCATTCTTGTTTTTCTGATCTTCGGTTCCGTCTCCTCTTCTTGGATCGACATGTTCAGACCCTCGAAATGTTGTGACAACTCGTCGACTCGAATGTCCTCTTGTTCACTCTGCTCGATGTTCTTCTCCGACTTCGATGCCTCCGAACGTTGAATATTTTCTGGAATGCTAACGGAATTATCATCGCCAGGCAGAGACTC